AGAAAAGATGAAAGAGGAGATAAAAGGGAGATAATGATAAAACATTTTCAGTCTGCTTCATCACCTGCAAAGAGATGTAAAAACAGCACAACCAAGGGATATAGTCTAAGAGATATAATAAAGAAACACCTTGATACTATCGCTGAATTATAAGTAGTATTATTTAATCTGACTTGGATACTGTGGTAGCTGAAGATAAGAACATGGGCTTTCTGTATGGAAGTAACCTCCGTCCATCTTCTGCCGCCTTTCCAGCAGCCTACTGAGGCCCTTACCATGAAGGGAGCTCAATGTAGTGGGATTACTCCCAGCCTGTCCAGCTAAACCGATCCATAACAATGGTAATCAGCATCAGCGTTACAAAACTGGTTATCAAATCACTAACTCAATCATGATTTGATTGATCATTAATCTGTGAATGTACAAAGGGGTGGGTTCATGGTAGCAGACCAATAACAATCATAAGGGCAGAACAAAGAGCGCCATATTTCACCTGTGAGGAACAAAAACTCATCTTACAGAAATATGAAGATCATTGGTAGTTCTAGGATTTTTTTTTTTTTTACTGGGGTGGCCAAAGGATTTCCTTAGCAAGGAGCCTGACCGGTGGTGGTTCCAGAAAATCTTTATAGGGATGGTCAGGCAGGGGCCAAAATGCACTGAGGGGTAACCGATAAACTGATAGGTGGCAAAAACATCTTATGGACAATCTATACTGATTAATATAAAGCAACAGAAAAATGAACACGAACAATATCTACATTTTCCAAATAAATCACTGAATGCATGTTTATTTATTAGTGCTGTTTAAATTAATTTATGGTTCTACATAATATATACATTATATGGGTTGAGCAATGATCTTTATCTTTAGAGAATACTGTTAGGTGACAGAAGAGACAAACTCTGCAGTCACCTGAAACCTAAAAACTCATTTATAAAAGATCAAACATTCTTTATCAGTCCTCGTTATTTGTAGTATATCGTTATGAAGGATTTTTTTTCTGCAGTTCTGTATTCAGTTTTTGGTCAATATACCAGCGTTAAAATGTCAAAGAAGGAAATTCCACATGATGGGATCACTGCTGCCACATCAGGCTTAGTGGAGAACTGCTTGTTCTCTGGGCTATTGAATCATATCCCAGGGAGAACAACAAATCACCTGGTAGGGGGGGCTACAGGGGTGGTCCACTCTAGATCTGCTCCTTAAGAAGAGGAAAAGAAAGTACCAATGAAAAGTTAAACAAGATGGCAGCATGAAAAAGACACCAAATGACCTGGTAAAGGGTTGCTGACTGAAAAAAAACTAACTAAAACATAACAGAAAAACATAATTTGATCTGGTTAGTTGGACTTTTTAATTCAATAATGTTTGAGCTAGAATAAAGCTGGAAGCAATGCCACGATTGCATCATATAAATACAAGAAGTGATCAGTCTGAGTGAAACTATCCTGGGTTTTACCCTTAGCCACAGTTCAGCAGACGAGGTGAAACTTTGTAGTGTTTCTGTTTCCGTCTCATACAGGATCTTTGATTTCCATGATCAATGTTTCATTCCACAGAAACATTACAGCCCTTTTCTAAGTGTTTTGTTTTTTCTTCACCTTGCGGTTTAATCGCCCATCGATTCAGCTTCAGTGTAACATTTCCCCTTCTCATCTATACTGTTACAGCAAACAAGAAAAAGAATATACAGTACGTATATGTATATATACATGTGTTAATCCAATACTTTATTCACTTTTCCAGTTCAACATTAACCATCATAAGCATTTTATTCTGATTATAGAAATTGCATTTTTTTCCTGGTTTATTCAAAATATACATTTATTAATTGTCAAATAAATTTTTATTTTATTCATATTTACTAACAAGAAATTGAGCAAACAAAGAGCAATACATGCTCTAACTCTAATACTGATCAAACATTTCAGTGGATTGGCTTAAGCAACAAATGTAAGCATTTTTTAGTTAAACAGCGTGAACCGTTTGATCTGTGACCTTTTATAATTTCTCTTTACACCTGTTGAAAGATCTCCTTGTGTTTCCTGTTCATTTTCTAACTCCCAAAAAGAGCAAAATAATTTGAAGGACGCGGTCCATCCCAGGAGCTACTCTTCAATCTCACTCTGGACATTTATAAGCTGAAAAGATAGACTCCAAAATACTTTTTCCACAGCAGAAAAAAGTGGTTCTACAAAAAAAACAAAACAATTTATACTTTGTTTTTTCTTTTCTTTTTTTGATATATAATTACACTACAATTTCATTAAAAGATTGAAATCTGTCAGTTTAATTTTCTAGATTATAACCAAGCACAGAGCTAAAAATGAATTTGCAGAGGAAGTGTAAGGGATTTCAGTTTTTAGATTTAGGTACATCCTTTATCATTAGAGTCATTGTGATTCTAGCTTCTTGATTTGAAGTGATTTATAAAGTTCTTAAAGGGCAAATGTGCATCACTGGTCAACCACATACATCCTGAGAATTATTATTATTATTATTTTTTTTTTTTTAAGGTAAGTAAGTAAGGTTTATTTATATAGAACCTTTCTCAGATAAGCTTAACAAAGTGCTGTGTAATATGAGGAATAAAATACAAAACAGCACCATGTAAAATACATATAGATAAAATAAATTCAATTATCAATAAAGGCAAAAAAGGAATGCATTTCATTAAATTTCTATATAATGCATTTTGCTTTCTATTTTGAAAATAATTAAATGTTTCATATTGTTTTAATTTTTTTTTTCTAATCACTTTACAATGCACAGCACTGCTGGTAAAAAATATCCTGCACTGATTTATTTTATTTTTTTTACTGTTTCCTGTCTGGCAATGTGGCAATAAGAATAATTGTCTTTATGCCAAAAAGAGCCCAACATCCTGAGAATTATTTAGGTCATCGCCATCTGTGAGTCGCTTACTTACCGGAGCAACATGTGAGAAGAAGCCTATCAGCCGAGAGGTCAAATCT